CGTGTGTGTGGCTGTGGGACCCCATTGGGAATAGTGGTTGTGTCATATGAGTCTAGCCACTTGCAGCCAAGCTGATGGCAGCCAGAGCCCTGGAGATGCGTCCACCGCTCCTGGATCCACAAGACTGCCCGCATGGCCTGCGATCTCCCTGTCCTTGCATGTGCTGCGTGAGTCTGAAGAGGAATTGATGGGCTCGCATCGGACACACGGGCTAGTACTATTGAACGTATGCACTTGAGCTGGACTGGGCTGTTTTCTCAGTATCCCATCGCTGTTTGCTCTAAACCTCTTTCTTGTACACAGAAGAGGGTCTATGGATTTGTTCCTGGGGTCCACCAGGACTCACACAGGGCTCTCTCTTGTTACGTAAGCGGGGAGGAAATGGGATACAGACTTGTGTCAGTCCGACAGGATGCTTTCTCTTTCTTATGAAAATGAGGTGGGGTGGTGCGCCCCTGTAGTCCCAGATGGAGGATCACTTGAGTCCGGGAGTTCTGGGCTGTAGTGTGCTAAGCCGATCGGGTGTCCACACTACGTTCGAAGGGTGAACCGGCCCAGGTCGGAAAGGGAGCAGGGGGAGAATGAGATTGTCTGCTTCCCTTCTCTGGCTGGTTTCTTTGAGGGGTGGGGGTCTCGTGGACAGAGCACAGCAGGTGCAGAGACACACACAGGAGACGGGGAAGGGGCAGGGGCAGAGGCCATGTGCAGGCTGGTCTGCCGGGCACCCACCTGGACAGCATGCGGTAGGCGTCCTGCTTGTCCACCGGCTTCTCCAGGATCAGGCCCCCGACCGTCTGCAGCGGGGCGGGGAGAGGAGGGAGTCCTGAGAGGGGACTCTACGTGGTCACTGCAAACTCAAACCCAAACTCACTGCCATCGAGTGGACACCGACTCACAGCGAGCCTGCAGGACAGGGTGGAGCTGCCCCTGGGGGTCTCCCAGGCTGTCAGTCGTTACAGTCTGGTCCTTCTTCGAAGGAGTTAATGGACAGGTAGATATGCAGATAGACAGAAAGACATATCTATCTGTCCATTAGCTCCTGGGGAGAAAGGCCAGACTGTCTGTCCCTGTAAAGACTGACCGCCTGGGAGACCCCCAGGGGCAGCTCTGTCCTGTCCTGCAGGGTCGCTGGGAATCAGAACGACTGGAGGATTTGGGGGGGGCCCTGAGCCATCGGGGTGGTGGAGTCTAGGGTGGGGTGAAGACAGACAGCACAAGGGGGTGGACTCTGGGGCAGCGCCAGTCTCGTGGGTGGAACAAGATGGACGGGGGTGGGGAAGGGGATGGAGCCATGTGGGTGAAGGAGGGGTGGGGCCAGAAACACATGGGCTAAACCGGACACACCCACCCTTGGTGACAGGGCTCCCCTCCCACCTGCTCCCCCAAACACTCACAACAATGGTATCTGCACCGATGACCAAGTCAGGGGTCCGCGAATCCTGTAAGAAACCCAGATGCATTACCGTCCACGTCTGTCCGGCAGCCCCGCCAGACCCCAGCCCGACCCCAGCCCGGCACC